ATTCCTTCCAAGCACTGTATCACTTGTCACGCACCCACTAGTGTCATACAATACCAATGATTCTATCAGATTCGTTCCAAGCACTGTATCACTTGTCACGCACCCACTAGTGTCATTCAATACCAATGATTCTATCAGATTCGTTCCAAGCACTGTATCACTTGTCACGCACCCACTAGTGTCATTCAATACCAATGATTCTATCAGATTCGTTCCAAGCACTGTATCACTTGTCACACACCCACTAGTGTCATTCAATACCAATGATTCTATCAGATTCCTTCCAAGCACTGTATCGCTTGAACATTTTTCAGACATGGAACTCTAACCACCACATCTTGCAAACAGTTGAAATAATGTACAAACTGTTCTTCGATACTTTTATAAATCAGTAAAACACACAATTCCTATTCATCTCATGCCATTTTTATTTCTCTAATAACCTCCATCTACACATGGTAATGACTTATAATTATCTGGCATTTATTTTAACATACTGTATTGAAAAAAACGTAGAGTTGCTTTCTTCAAATATTCAATCTAGTGTTAGCAGTAAATATATTCTAAACAAAAAAAAAAAACATCAAAGAAGTGAATAAAAACCAATTGTTGGAATATGTTACACATCATCAATCATACTGTATGATACAGTTTAAATTGTATGTATATATTTCAAGATCTCAAAGTTCTAACAAACTTGTATAGCAGTTATACAATTACATATACTACAAGTATTGCCCATATAGCTTCTTAGAAGAGGTTTTTTTCTCGTTTTCCAAAGCAAGTTTTAAAAATACTAAAGCAAATGTCTTATTTATGCAATTTATAGAATTGTTACACCTGATTTCTTTTCCCCTTTTTAATGTAAATAGTATGAATGATAAACATTAACAAAACTAATACAAAATTTTAGGTTTACTGCTTTAAGTGCAAATTCCAATTAATAATTCTGTAACCGAAACTCGGCTCCTTTTTTTATTAACAGTTTTTCAAATAACACAACTGTCTCTAATTGATCATCCTAATCTTTGTCAGAATTTAATTACTGATTGCAGAAAGAAAACAAAACCAGCAAGAAAAAGAATGTACAGACCAAGATTTCTGCCAATAAATATCTTGATTACATTTGTTTTCCCGATAGCGATACTTCTGAGGATGATGCATTATCCTCAAAAATCAAGATAGGCGACAGGAATTTTTCTGACAAGTCAGTATCAGCAAGTATTTAGAAAAAAAAAAAAAAAAGAAAAAAAGACAACACTCAGTTCTCGCCCTTGGCTTGGCGTTTTTGAAGAGCCTGAGCTAGGTCATTCCTGAGGGCAGCCTGTTGTTTCTGGTCCGACAAGGGCTGTACATTTCTCAGTCCATTTACAATGTCTTTGGTTTTTCCAAAGTAGATTTCATTCAGTGTGTTTCTTATTTTGTTTTCCATATCCTGTTAAAATACAAAAGGCTCTTTTTAATCTCCATTTTATGTTTGTAGCTTAGTGTAATAACTAAACTTAACCATCTAAACCTTGAGACATTATTGGTTTTATTGCCAAAATTATCGATAGTGGTGGTAACCAAATGATAATTCAATCAATGTATTTTAACACGACATTATCAATTTCATTTTCTTACAACATATTTCTAGTCTGTTTGATGGATAGATTTAGCTTAATTAACTTACGAGTTACTTTTTTAATTACAATTCATAGTTAGGTTACTTTTTATGTTAATTTTCCAAATATTTTGTACTTAAAACTCTAAACAATACATATAGTAATGTATGTAAAACTCAAGAACTGAAAACAATATTCATACTTGTGTATATAAAAAATTGAACTAAAAACAATACTTATATTGGTGTGTATAAAACTAGCTGAAACAACTGTTCAGCTAACATCTACAGGGTTGTGACTGTGTATTTAAACAACTTAATAGTGATGTGTATAAAACTAGCTGAAACAATTGTTCAGCTAACATCTGAATTGGCTTGAAAACATAAATATCCAAGGTTATGTAGAATAAAATGTTAATATTTTTCCTGTCTAGCTGAAACTTAACATCATACACCATTCAAAGGTGTTTAGCAGTTACCATGACAACACAATGGGTTTAATATTTTTCATGTAACTAGCTAATTAAAAAAGAAAAACTTGTGAACCAACGAGCACACTTACCTCAACCATTCTTCCAATGTGAACCAACGAGCACACTTACATCAACCATTCTTCCAATGTGAACCAACGAG